CTGATGCTTAAACTGAAGCATTATTTTAGCCTGTTAACGTGTTTGTGCAGTGACCTTGCTGTATTTCTTCTAAGTACCATGGTATTTTTTCATAGAAAATTTAGTTTTGCCATATAGAATTGAAAAAGTGATAGATGGTGTTACTTCCAATGGAAGTACTTATACACGCAATAGAAAAATATGGTTTTCATCAGCTGGCTGTTTAGGCAGGGATTGACTGTGAGTCTATTAATAGATGGCATTTTCATGAAGAAGTCTATTTATGTATTGCACTGGCTTAACATTTGATGCATGTACAGAGGAGCTATTCCTACAAAAGGTGTAGTAACACTTCAGAACCCAGGAAAGTCCTCAGAGGGGAAGCCCACAGCTCCTGCTGGGAAGAAGAAAGCAGCTCAAAAGAGAAATACAGAAAGTTAACAATAAGTTAAGACCAGAAGATTACGAAATAAAATGTAATGAAACTAATTTTTATAAAAGCAGATCAAAGATAATATATTTAAAAGAAGTTAAGCCTGCTTCAATCAAATTAGTTTTATTCTTGTTCTATTTATGTTGTTATTGCCCATGGCACATTCTTTTGAACGTATTTAGTGGCAGATGTTTGTCCAGTGATTTTAGTCAATACTTTACATAATTGGGAATCATCTTATGAGTAAAACTTTATCATTTAACTGGAAAAATGTATCATATATATGTAAAAATCATCATATATATAAAAATCACACACACACATACACTCCCTCATGGATTTTATATTATAGTATGGAGGACAGACATAAATAATGCACATACTAAATAAGTAAGCCACAGCCAATGTTAGAAGGTAATTAATGCTATGGAAAAAAACATTAATCGAGGTTAAGTAGATCAGGAGTGCAAAAGGGGAGTACTTAGCAATTTTAAGTAGGGTGGTTAGGGTAGATCTTATTTTAAAGGTAATATTTGAGCAAAGACTTGAAAGAAATGAGAGGAAACAGCTGTGTGGGTATCTAAGGGGAGAGCATTCCTGGAAAAGGTAACTGGCAGTGCAAAGACCCTGAGTTCTGAGTTGGGTACATGTTTGGTGAGTTCATCACAGCAGAGAGTCCAGGCTGGTTGGAGCAGAGTAAGCAGGTTTGGGAGTAGGGGTGTGGTAAGAGAGGAAATAAGCAAACAGATCATGTGGGGCCTCAGAGGTTAATGCAAGGATTTTGGCTTTTATTGTAAGAAAAAGGAAAGCCATTGTAGGTTTTTGAGCAAAGAAGTAATTTATGGCTTGCGTTTTGAAATGATTACTCTGACTGCTGGTTGAAGATAGACTGAAGCAGCATAGGTGGAAGTGGAGAGACTAGGCAGGAGGCTGTCCTACTGGGGACAGCAATGAAAGTAGTGATAAGTGGTTAAATTCTAGATGCACTTTGAATGTATCACCAACAAGATTCCCTGACACCACTCTCCACAATCCTTCAGAAGAATGGACATTCCTAATTTTAAATCAAGATTTTTTTTTTTTTTTTTTAGTTTTAGAAAACAAATTATTGACTTAGCAGACACTGTTAACATACTTTTCTTTCCTGTGTATGTGAGCTCTGTAAGGCAGGCTACCATTTCTTATGTATCCATATATCCTTGTAGTACCTTGGACAGTTACTTTTGTACTTGCTGTGTTTGTTGAACTGAACAATTTTGACATTTTGTGAACATCACTCTTATATTTGAAAACATTATAATAGTTGAATATTGTAACTAAATATATTTATATTCAATTGATTGTAAAACATTTTGTAACAGTTTTAAATTCAAGCAATTATATTTTTTACAGCAACCAAAAAAGGAAAAAAACGAAGAAAGTGAAATTGATTGGAGTATTAACATTGGTAAGCTGTGAAATGTTAAATGTGAATAATCCTACCTTTTATTCAGATTTGATGTATTGAATCAATTACCTTTAAAGCAAATAACTTTAAGATTGTCCAGCTAGGCGAGTTGACTCACACTTGTAATCCCAGCTCTTTGGGAGGCTGAGGTGGGAGGGTTGCTTGAGCCTAAGAGTTTGAGACCAGCCTGGACAACATAGTGAGATCTCATCTCTACAAAATAATAAAAATAAAAATCTTTTAAAAATAGCCATATGTCATGGCATGAGCCTATAGTCCCAGCTACTTGGGAGGCTGAGGCAGGAGGGTCTTAGGAGTCTGAGGCTGCAGTGAGCTATGATCACACCACTGCACTCCAGCCTGGGTGGCAGAGCGAGGCCCTGTCTCAAAAACAACAACAAAAAAAACTGTCTGCAGGCAGCAATAAATTGTCCTTGCTGCACCTGTGCTAAGTTTGGCTTATTATAGTCAGTGACCCACATTCTCAAGATGGATGATTTTTTAAAAAGTAGAGACAGGCTGGCGATGACACAGGGCAGAGCTAACTGGTGTGCAAGCAAAGTGAAAATGTGTTAGTAGCACAATGCAAACTAAACAAAATTTCAGGAAATTGCATTTCTGCATTTGCTTCACAAACACCCACCCTAAATTTAGCTTTAAATAAGCTTACATATCAAGAAAGTAATCTTTAAGTACATAAATTTTAATTTAAGGAATCTACATTCACATTTGGCTTCCAAAAATTGGCTAAATAGGGGATAACTATTAGGGATTCTGATTATGCTTAAAACAGTTTTCGGTGCTTTTCTGTTGGTACAAGACAAGACAATATTTTTTGAAGAAGTCTCCTAATCTGGTTTTCATTTGAAATATGTCTTACAGAGGCAGCTCAAGAAAGCATTTGCCCATTTTTGGTAAATATGATGTGTTTCAAACTGTGACAGCCATTAATTTGATAGCAAAGAAGTTAGAATTGTCGTGTCAGCTGAAATCCAACTTAGTAATTAAATGGATAAAAAGACACCAAAACCTCCACACTCTCAAACTCTGCTGCGTACTTCTCATGTAACCATGAAGCCCCCATTCATTGTCTTCCCTCCTCTTTTTTTATTTGTTTGTTTAAAAAGGCTCAGTAAGGGCAATTAAAAAAATTACTGCTTTGGAGAATAAATTGTTTATCAAATGAAAGCTGGTTTTAATGCATAGGTTTTAAATCTGCCTCCTACAGAAAATAAAATCCTATAAACCTTAATGTAGAAACAGAAATTTTCATTTGAATTTAAAAGTTTTAGCTTAAGTTAAATTTAAATTTAATCTTTATTTTCACCTCTTAATCGATATCTTAATAGATATTTTTTGTTGAGGATAAAGTTGTGCTCTAACAGGAGTTAGAAATATATTATTTTGTGTAAAATCACTGAAAACAAACCTAGGTTTACTTAGGATGTTGCTGTGAAATTCACTTCATTTTACATTTATGCTTAGAGGCTGTAAAATTGTATTCAGTTAATATGAAAACATTTAAAATGCTTTTTAATGTTAACAACCTGACCCTGTGCTTTTAACTGTAGCTGACAGACCCAAGTGTTCTGTTTTCCTTTTCCCGGAACCATTAAAAATGAACCTTTGGGACACTGGTCCCTTTGTGGCAATTTTAGGGACCCAGCTCCATTGGCTCTTGATTTTACCTGCTCCCATTGTTTTATACAAGTTCTGCCTGGCTTCTGACCCTTTGCCTCTTTCAGTTCCCTTGCTTGCCCTGCGTGTTTGATGATGGAGTTTGCCCCGTCCCTGAAACCTTGCCTGAACTCCTGGAACTCTTTGAGAACGGTTACACACATACCCACTTTCCACCATGTGCCTCTAACCTCAGCCTCGCCCGGGTTATTGATGCAGTTTGACCTAGCTTCAGCCCTCAAAGGCTCCACTGTGCCAAGCCTGACTCATCACCCACTCTCCCAATAACTGTTCCTTGTCCCCAAAAGGGGCTAGGGAGGGGGGAATGGGCAGAGTAAAGCATTTTAAAAGAGAGGAGAGAAACAAAAAACAAGACAGGAAACTATAGAAATGGAAACATAAGAGGAGGAAAATGTAGTCTAGAAGGCAAAGGAGGAAAGAAGAACAAAGAGAAAGAGTACCGTAAATGGGTCAATCAAAAACAGAAAGAAAAGGTGAGAAATGGAAGAGGACTAATAAGACAGTAACAAAGTCCTTTGAAGTGTTAGGACACTGATCTGCTGGTTAGTTCTTGGGGGTTGTGCACTTCACTGTGACAACTGGTATCACCCTTCCCCTCTGTAGGTAGTACTGTGTCCAAGATTCTTGGTGTGGCTCACCAGCATAGGCCTTCTATCTCTCTCTAACTTCCTCTCCCACACTTTGTACTGTGCCCTTCAGGAATTCCACTGCTAGGGGTTACTTAAGCATTCCATCTAGTTTCTAGTTACCTTCTTGTTATAAGCCTAATTCTTCCTACTTCTTCTACACTCGCCGATTCTTCTCCAGGGAACTCCCTCTTACCTTCAAGGTTCTGCATATTTGGCAGGTGACACTGGTGACAAATAAATTTTTACAAAAGGTTCTACATAAGGATCTCTATGAGCAAGACTTCCCTAAGGTGCACATATAGACACACTGTAATGTTTGTTGTGCTTCACTACTGAGTTGCCTTTTTAAAGCTAAGTTAAACCTTTTAAAGGGATCTTATGTCAAAACTCAGAGCATCTATTTTCCCCTATTTTAAATTCTCCCTCTGAAATATTCTGAATGCTTTTTTAAAGGAGGTGGTGTGTATGTGTGTGTGTGTCTGTGTGTGTGTGTGTGTCTGTGTGTGTGCGTGTTTAAACTTAATGTCTTTTCCTAGCCATTCTTTATTACTGCAGGAGCTCTGGGAGATCAAATAATATTTCTTAAACCTTTATCCCTTCTGATTGTATTGTAATTATTTATTCAAATCAGATACTGATTAACCATAATTAGATTGATTTCTTCACAGAACACAAAATAAACAGAATCATGAAATTAAGGCGTTAATGATTTGAAGACCTCCTTTTCTAAGACATTCATTTGCAACTCTTAAAAAAGTACTGACTTTAAATAAAAATCCAAAGAACATATAATTAGGGAAGAGGAGAAATTCCATTCCACAGCTAAGTATTATTTTATTTCCTTTTTTTAGTTTCGATACTCTGATTGGCAGGATAAATTGTTTATGTCGCTTGGTACCATCATGGCCATAGCTCATGGATCAGGTCTCCCCCTCATGATGATAGTGTTTGGAGAGATGACTGACAAATTTGTTGATACTGCAGGAAACTTCTCCTTTCCAGGTAAGCATTTCTTTACCTTTTAAAAAAATCCATAGCATTTCTTTAACTGGGTAAACATTTGGAAGTTGATTTTGCTATTCATTACCATCTTACTTAATGATTTGGATATCTGGATGACTCCAGATATCATAGAAGGAGTTGTAAAATTCTCAGAAAATTGTTCAAATACTCATTTAAATTTAAAGAAATACATGTATTTTTGTTTGACTTTTAATACAGGTGAAGCTTCTAAATAAAGTAAAGAAGTCACTCTACTTGAGAACAGTGGAAATGTAATGAGTGTATATCTATGCAGTATCCATCCTATTAGTAATTGCTGATGAGTTTCAAAACACATCAGTTAAACATGGCAGTACTTCTGAGCTGTATTTAGCTTGCAGATCTGTTTCTGGGTTTTCTTTTCTTCTCTCCCCTTCACCTTAAAAAAATTATACCCATTTCTGTCTCTAATTTTGGATCAACCAGATTGACTGGAACTTGAGATGGCACTTCACTAAAGAGTGAATGGATTCAAAATGTCCCTTGGAATTCACCCAAAGGACTATAATTACTGAAGAGCCAAAAGAGTCCCATAAGTTAATGTTATCAATAAGAGAGGCCCTGACAATAGCATTAGAGTGGGGTTCCAATAGACATACTTATTTTCATAGTAACCAAATTCAACATAGAAATGAAGATTTTCATGCTTTCTACCAAGCCTGAAGCCTCTTTTCTCTAACAGACCTTTGGGCACTGGGCTGGAGAAGACTGAGTGAAACTTTACTGTTGCACAGATGGTAGAATATTTTCAAAACACTGGTAAAGGAAAGGCAGCTTTCTTAGCAAAGATATCTAAGACAAATTATCATTTAGACGGCATTGAATGAGAATTTACAATGTTCACTGACTGAAAACTACATATTTAGTTACTATTGTAGGCCTTACGTGTAAGTTCCTAAGAGAATAGGATTGCTTAATTAATACAACAGAATATGTTTACATAAATATTCATAAATATTAATGCCTTTTAAAAATCTGATAAAAGCATCCTTTGAATATTTAAAGCAAACTCCTATAAAAAGTTTGTTTATTTATTCTCAAGTAATATTGTCTCTGAAAAAACACCTCTTCATAATAAAAATAACAGAAATGGTGATTTTTCATTGTGCTTACTATGTGCTAGGTCCTATGCTGAGCACTTTACATACATTATTCCACTTTACCCTCACAAGAAAAATACTACACAGTAGGTAATGTTATCTTCTGTGATACATGTTAAAACCAAGGCTTGGAGAGGGCAAATAACTTGTCCATAGTTACACTGCTGGTGGATGTTAGGACAGAATTCAAACACAGGTCATTCTGCCATCCAAACCATGCTCATTGTCATATATATTATAGGGTCAATATAGATGATTAGGAAAAAAAGTGCTTGGGAAAGTTTTAAATGGATTGCTTATTTGTGACTAGTGACCAAAAGTTTAACATAAACACTATGAAGTTGTGATAGGACAGATAGTTTAAAAAGTCTTTAAAGAGGCCGGGCACAGTGGTTCATGCCTTTGGGAGACCGAGGTGGCGGATCACCTGAGTTTGGGAGTTCAAGACCAGCCTGACCAATGTGGAGAAACCCCATCTCTACTAAAAATACAAAAGTAGCCAGGCATAGTGTCTCATGCCTGTAGTCCCAGCTACTCTGGAAGCTGAGGCAGGAGAACCGCTTGAACCCAGGGGGCAGAGGTGGCGGTGGGCCAAGATCGCGCCATTGCACCCCAGCCTGGGCAACAAGAGCAAAACGCTGTCTCAAGAAAAAAAAAAAAAAGAAAGTCTTTAAAGAAATGGGAGAGTAGGAATTTTCTATTGTCTATTTGTTTTCCTAGAAAATCTATAGATCTACAACATATTAATTTTATATACATATAGAGCAGGATGATGCCCATATTAAGACACCTCAGTTAAAAATCTATTTCTCATGGAATACTACACATCTATAAAAAATACAAAATCACGAGCTACTCAGGAAGCTGAGGCAGGAGAATTGCTTGAACCCAGGAAGTGGAGGTTGTAGTGAGCCAAGATCGTGCCACTGCACTCCAGCCTGGGCGACAGTGCAGGACCTTGTCTAAAAAAAACAAAAACAAAAACAAAATTGTGTCCTTTTCAGCAACATGAATACAGCTGGAGGCAATTATCCTAAGCAAATTAACACAATAACAGAAAACCAAATACTGCATATTCTCACTTATAAGTGGGAGCTAAGTATTGGGTACACATGGACATAAAGATGAGAACAATAGACACTGAGATCTACTAGAGAGGGGAGGGAGGGCAGCAAGGGTTGAAAAACCAAACACTAGGTACTATGCTTACTACCTGGGTGACGGGATCATTCATATCCCAAACCTCAGCATCACACAATATGCCCATGTAACAGACCTGCACATATACTCCCTGAATCTAAAATAAAAATTGAAATTATTTTAAAAAGAAGAAAGAAATGCAGACTCCCAGGCCACATCCTGGACCCACTGAATTAGCAATGGTATTTTAGCAAGACCTTTCCTTCCCCACAGTGAATCAGAGATGCATTTATGCATATTAATGTTCAAGGGTCTATTAAGTGGTCTGACCTGCCAGATGGGGAGCTGGGTTTCTCACTCATCCCTTTAGTAGCAGGACAATGACGCCATAGGAACTTACACCAGCTGTCTTTGATTTCCATCTTATTTCATCTGGAAAAAAAAAAATCAAAGAAACTACGAAGACGCTTCTCCAGCTCCTGAATTGTCAGCATCATATTTCCACTGCCCCTACTTTGAAATTATCTTTGAGTTTCACATTTCCTGATTTTCAAACCATAAAGCACCATTTATTAGAGCACCAATAGAATATTTTTGTGGAATAAGACCCAACTTTATCTGTTCATGTATGGTCTAGCACCTCTTTTCAAGTGTTGCAGATATTATCTCTTGGTGACTCACATTAGCCTTCCAGTGAAGCACTTGTATGTCCATAAAATATCTGTGAAATAATATAGAGAAACTGGTGATTACTTCTAGGGAGAGAAAGTGAGTGGCTTTGAAAATGGGTGGCTGTGATGTCTCCCTGTATTCTCACTTGTAACTTTTGACATATACACCTTTACCAAGAAAAAATAAATTTAAAGTAATTTTTTTTAAAAAAATGGCTTCTACACGTGGTTAAAAATATCAGATTAACAGATGAATGGAAAAATAAAATATGGTAGATACATACAATGGAATATCATTCAGGTTTTTGAAGGGAAATAACTTCTGACACATGCTACGTCATAGATGAACCTTGAGGACATGATGCTAAATGAAATAAGCCACTCAAAAAAAAGATAAATACTGTTTGATTCTACTTTTATGAGGTATCTAGAGTAAAATTCATAGGAACGCAAGTGGAATGGTGGTTAGTAGGGGTTGTGGGGAGGGACAGTAGGGAGCTGTTGTTTAATGGGTATAGAGTTTCACTTTTGCGAGATGAAAAAGTTCTGGAGGTTGGCTGGACAACAGTGTGAATATACTTAACAGTACTGAACTGTACACTTAAAAATAGTTAAGATGGTAAATTTTATGTAACATATCACAATTAAAATTTTTAAAGTCAGATTAAAGCAATGCAATTCACTTATCACAGATCATTTCTCTTTTGGACCAACTTTATTAGTTCTGTTTTTGTTTTTACTAATACCAGAATAATTCCCAACTTTCTTACTTGGAGAACTTTTCTTTTTTTTTTTTTCTTTTTTAACTTGTGCCTAATTATGAAACTGAATGGCTTTGTAGCTGGACATGGCAGAGAGGTGCCAAATTCAAGGTCTCTCTGGGGAATGGCACAAGCAAGTCACTTACAGACCTGTGGTTGACGCAGAGATAAACTCATGAGAGTTGCCAACTTTGTTTTGGTAGCCTCTGAATTATAAACACTCCTGTTATGACACTTGGTACCCTGTAGCCATGTTTCTCGTTAGGCTTACTGGATGGATTTAGATTGGAAAGTTCCTCAAATGTTATGAATTTCCAACATCCACTCTTTGGTCGTTTGTAAAAATAATATTCTCATACCTCTTTGAAGACAATGAAATCTTTAAAGGATACTTACTCTAAATCCAGACTGCTTATTGATGTGTTGAGAGTTGTAGAGTTTAGCAAAAATCATGGGGATTGGGAACAGATAGAGTGAGTACTTAGCTGAGGTTCCAGCTTATCTCATAGAGATGTTTACTTAGTCTATTCTTTAGAATTGTTGGATGCTTGGACAACCAGACTCAATAGGAGTCAAATGAGAAGGGCATGTTAGAAGAAAAAAAGGTTTATGTTACAAGAGGGTCTGACAATGACTTATTGTGAGCAAAGCCCGTCCTTGTCAACAGAATAAAGCTACTCCATGACACGGTTGTTCCCTCACAATGAGTCAGTTGTGCAGAAACTATGCACACAACATTCTGTATCCAAAACATTAAGGACAGAGTTGGAGAAAACAGTTTTTCTGCAGAGTGTCAAGGACTTGATACCTTTTATGCTGTCTCTGTGACTGTAATAATCTAGAAAATTCTGTGGGGGAAATAGCTGCATCCTGATTGTCCTTGCATTGCCTCTTGGTTGAGGGAAAAAATGCCATTTTGAGCCCCAAGGCACCTTCACTAATTGTCCATCGTGCCTAGGGTGCCTGAACAAACACCAGCTCTTTATTTTGAGATGAATAATTCTATGTGGTAAAAGAAGTCCTAGGCAACATTTAAAAATAACTAAAAGCATGTAATTGGATTGTTTGTAACACAAAGAAAGGAGAGATGCTTGAGGTGATGGAAACCTCTCCTTCTTCCCCTTCGAAGAAAAGGAAGTCTTGGGCAGATTCAGGAAAGGTGGACACTGACTTACTTTGAGACTCAAAAGTGAAAATGAAGACTATGTTTCCCTATCTAATCCTTAATGTATACACTGCTTATTCAGACCCTTCACCCATGAGCTGTGTGACCATGGGCAAGTCTCTTAACCTCTATAATCCTTACTGTTCTCACCTTTGAAAGGTAAGCATAAATTTACTGATAGAATTAAGTGAGATGATTTGTGTAAAGTGTCTGGAACATAGTAAATGATCAATAAATATTGGGAGAAACTAATTATAAGAACTTGGAAATGAAACAACCTACTCTGTTTCTTCATTTATAACATGTACAGGTTATATAGGTATTCTCTAAAATGAATAGATAGCTTCAGGACTTCCCCAGTTCCTTACCATGGGAGGCATTCAGGTGGACTGGGGTGTAAGTTTTACATCCTGGCATATTAGAATCAACCAGGACACTTTTTCTTTTTTGAGACAGGGTCTTGCTCTGTTGCCCAGGCTAGAGTGCAGTGAAGTTATCGTAACTCACTCCAGCCTTGAACTCCTGGGCTCAAGTAATCCTCCTGCCTCAGCCACCTGAGTAGCTGGGACTGCAGGCACCTGCCACCATGCCCGGCCAACTTTTTGTAGAGGTGGGTTTCACCACGTTGCCCAGGCTGGTCTCAAACTCCTGGCCTCAAGTGATCCTCCCAACTCAGCCTCCCAAACTGCTGTAATTACAGGTGTGAGCCACTGGGCCTGGCAGGAGGCACTTTTAAAAAATGTGATGCTTTGGACTCAACCAGAGATTCTGGCTGCATTGGGCTTGAGTGGAGCCTGGGCATCTGTAATTCTTAAGCTCCCCATGTAATTCTAATGCACAGACAGCATTAAGAACCACCAAGCCAAATGACCATGTAGATATCGTTTATGAGACTGAAGCAGAATAGGTAGCATCTGACAAGACCCGGACTAGGCTCTTTTCAGATCTAGCATGCCGTGACTCTCCAGGCGACACACCAACATACATTTAGTTCACCTTTGTCCCAGGCAACAAAAAGTCTGAGTTTCCCCCGGGGATTCTGGGGCTCCTCAGGTTACTAACCCAGCACTAGATTTCCATTCTTAGGACTCTGAGAAAGGAGCGGGTCCAATCTGGAATGCTCATAGATTCTTTCCTAGGAGGGAGAGTCAATTTGAGTTGATATGTGTGTTAGTCCATTTTGTGTTGCTATGAAGGAATATCTGAGACTAGGTAATTTATAAAGAAAATGTGGTTTTTTGGCTCATGGTTTGGCAGGCTGTGAAAGTATGGTACCCACATCTGTTTGGAGCTTCTGGCGAAGCCTCAGGAAGCTTTTACTCAATGAGGGAAGGTGAATGGGGAGCAGATGTGTCATATGGAGAGAGAGGGAGCAGGAGGGAGAGGCCAGGCTCTTTTTAACGACTAGCTGTCACATGAACTGAGTGAGAACTCGCTCATTATCTCAGGGAGGGCACCAAGCCATTCATGTGGGATCTGTCCCGTTGACCGAAACACGTCCCATCAGGCCCCACCTCCAACACTGAGGATGAAATGTGAGATTCGGTGGGAACAAACATCCAAACCATATCAGTATCTTTATTGAGAGAATTTAAAAGTTTGAGGTAGGTGTTGAAAGAGAGGAAAAACTTATTTCAGATTTCACTCAATTTTTCAGTTCAGGGAAATGAAAAACCACAATGAGTTTTACAAATGCCACAGCTTTAGAATAACTTGTCTGCCTCTGGTTCCAAACACTATTATAATTTGCTCTATTTAAAACTTCAGGATGGAAATGAACACACAGAAATGAACTGATAAGATGAAAAGTAAAATAGGGCATGAATCTTCAAGGTTCTGATAGCTTATAAAGAGCTAGATTCATAATCAGAAATTTCACTGTGAACATCAGTAGAATTTATAATCCTGGGGGTTTTAAAGGTTATGCTGCAGTTGGGGCCAGATGCCTGGTAATTTATCCTGACAGTAGTTTGAGTTTTAAATAAATTTCAACCTTATCTTTCTTTGGAAAAAGATAAGGAGGATACACAGCACCATGAAAACATGACCCCTGGGCTATTTACACATGGCAAAGGAATAAAGAGACCAATTTCTCTCCTAGGACCATGGAAAATGAGAAATATGTACCCTGATGTATTTTCTCAACAATGCTGTGGTGATATTTTATCCTATTATTTTGTGAATGCAGTAGATGTCAGCTGTTTCTTATTTTTTCATTTGTGTTTTCTAAAAAGTAAAAATAAGTCATTATCACATGAATAAATCAGTACAGTATAGTGTTACGAGCATAGGCCAAATTGCCTGGGCTGACTTTCAGCTCTGCCACTTACTAGCTGTATGACATTAAGTAGGTTACTTTATTTATCTGTGCCTCCATTTCCTCTTTTATAAAATGGGGTTTGTAAAATAGTCTCACCTCATAAGATAATTCAATGAATTTACACACTTAAAATATTCAGAACAGTGCCTGGTATTTAATAAACGCTCAATAAACATCAACTATTATTAAAACATGAAAATCAGGAAAGATACATTGACATTTTATCAAATTAGCTCAAATTAATAGACAATAGATTTCTTTCCAATTAACGCTGCTTCAAAAATACTAGAATACAGCAGTGCTGGTAAACAAGAGGTAGAATGCAGGATATTCATTTATTGCCAGTGATCACTGACGTGCCTTTGAGCAACCAAGTTATCTTCCCTTTCTAGTTTTTCCTCCTTTGCGATGGATGAACTTAGCCTTTCCCTTACTTATGTCATATGAGTTGTGTAAAGAAAAAACACACAGATATAAAAATAAAATTTATTGAAGTACCTATAAAGTGCTTTGAGCCACCAAAAAAAAGTGCCTCTTAAATCCTGTGTTTTCTATTTTAAATATTTCTTAATCCCTTCTCTGTCTTCTGTGTGTCTTGTGGCTTCCTCGTCTCTTCAGTGGCTCCTCTATGCCTCCTTAGAAGGCTGCTTTGCTAAAGGCTGAGACTACCAGGATGGGGGAAAGACCTGGGAGGGCTTATCTTCCCTTTCTTGGCCCTTAATGTCCAGTACCTAAACCCTTGGGCTCTTTACTTGAGTAAAGTGAAAATAATGCACTTGAGTGTGCAAAGAAAAGAGTGTTTTTTAAAGAGAACCTTAACAACAGCATCTTCTAGCTTTCATACATTTAAATTAACAGATTTTTTAAAACCTGGCAATGACTATAATAGTTTGATCTTTTAACATGTTTTATTTTATTTTTTAATTTAGTGAACTTTTCATTGTCGCTGCTAAATCCAGGCAAAATTCTGGAAGAAGAAATGACTAGGTAACTCATATATATGGTGTACTTTTTTAAAGTTTCATTTGAAAATAATTTCAAATTATAGAATTATAAGAATATACAAATAACATGTACTCTTTACCCAGATTCACCTATTGTTATCATTTTTTGCCCCCAAATCCTAATTTAAATTAAGATGCACACATCACGGCCTTTTACTGCAGTATGACTCCTAAGAATAAGGATATTTTCTTACATAATCACGGTACAGCCATTAGCTTCAGTAAATTTCAATACTTTTATCTAATATAACATCAATATTCCAATTTTGTCATTTGATCCAATAATGCCATTTATGGCATTTTCTCCTCCTTCTAGTTTCTCAGTAGAAATCTCTAAAGCCTGTAAGCATGATGTTTGTATGTCTGCATAGCAGTGTTGCTGATTGTAACAAGTGCTGTCTGTACACTGAAAGGCCTGAAAGGTGTCTATCTGGAAGCAGTTTGTAAACTTAGATAATAAAAATTTGAAAGTATTGATATGTACTTATTATTTTTTAAAATACTAACTTTCTACTAATTTGGTAAAACCTTCATTCCAAATTAGTTTGAATTCATGACATTTTACCATGTCATTTTTAAAAAATATTTCAAATTCTGACAAATAGGAACAGAGTTTTTGGTCCTTTGTATAAAGAATGTGGAAAAACCAGTATGGAAAGGATGATTTCACATGTTCAATCTGCTTATTACTATATATGCAATATGTAAATAATAGTGAACTTTTCAGTACAATAAGATATAATTTAAGAAAAGAAAAAATGTAATGTCTGTTTGTTATAATGTATACAGTTTTTGTTATCAGTTTAGTAAATTGATTAATTTCCAGTTCTGAAAATTTCTCCTGAAAGAGATGAATAAAGGATGGTAGGGTGGGGGCAGTGGCTCACGCCTGTAATCCCAGCACTTTGAGAGGCCAAGGTGGGCAGATCACCTGAGGTCAGGAGTTTGAGACCAGCCTGGCCAACATGGTGAAACCCCATCTCCACTAAAAATACAAAAATTAGCTGGGCATGGTGGTGCATGCCTGTAATCCCAGCTACTCGGGAGGCTGAGGCAGGAGAATCACTTGGATCCAGGAGGCGGAGGTTGCAG